CCCTAACTTCCCCTTCTCCGTCTCTCACTTTCTGTGTCTCTCCCCCTCTCTGTTTCCCCTGCCTCTTTTGCCATCTCTCCCTAGCCCAGAATTTGTCTTTGTCCACGTCTTTGCCTGTGTGACAAGTCTCTAGCATCTAGGCTCATCTGGGAGACACTCTGTCTCTCTGTCATGCGGTTCTGCCCACCCCCCAGTCTCTCTGAACGTCTCTGTCAGTCTCTGTCGCCCCCACTAACTCTGGGCTTTACAGCCTCTCAGTTTGTCTCTGTGTCTCTGCATGGTCTCTGCCCCGGCTCCCCAGGCCGCGCCATCTGTCCTCTCCCTAGGTCTCTGTCTCTGTCTCTCTGTCCATCCGTCTCTCTCTTCCTGGCCCCTCCCGCCCTCCCCCCTCTCCCTCTGTCTCACTCTTCGCCTCTCTCTTTTCTCTCTCAAGTGTTTTCAATTTTATTCTGAGTGGAATTAACTACCCCTGATGTCAAATTGCCGCCGAAATCGATAATAATATCTTTACAAAAGAGGATATTCTTCTCTCGGAGAACGGCCTCTGAAAAATGGAAAATTTAGTCGAAATTGATTCATTACTTGACACTTTATAGAACGGCTGCGTATTGATCGCACCTGTCATGTCCCATCTCCCCTAATCGAAGCTGAAGGCCGGCTCCGATGCCTGCTATTTTTCATAATTCCACCGCAGCCGACAGCTCCACAAACACCGCCGCTCGCCCGGCCTCCGCCTCCCCGCGCCGGCCGCCACCGCGCGCGCCCTCGGCCTGGCCCTGGCCTCGGCCTCGCAGGCCGCGCCTGCCGGCCCCGCATACCCGGCCCGCCGCCTGTCCCCTGCCGTCCTCCGTTGGTGTGTCCCCCTGCCCCTCCCCCACACCATGGCCACTCTCTTCTGCTGTCCGTCTGTCCTCTGCCCAACACCAAGTGATAGGTCTGCCGGTCCTTCCCCTGGGACCCCTCCCGCATCTGTCCGTCAGTCTTCTCAACACCCCACTCTTGTCCATCTGTCTGACCCCCATACCCCCAGGCCCACGCCCTGGCTGCCTGCCTCGTTCTGCTCTCCTGTCCGCCTGTGTGGTGGTCTGTCTGGCCTGCCCCATCCCCTGCCAGCTGCCCTCTTCCACCTTCCAGGGAGTGGGGGAGGGGCGAGGAGGCTGTCTGCTCCCTTCCGGCCCGCAGATTTGCCTCCCCTAGCCTCTGGATTCCCTCCCACTCCCCAACACCTTCAGTGAGTCCTGACCCAGTTTCAGCCCCTTCCCCTGCCCTCCTCCCCACACCCTTCTCTACTGCCTTTCCCCTCCTCCCCTCGCTGGGTCTCCCCAGGTCCCTAAGCAAAAGGCTCTGCCCTCCCTGGGGAACCACAGCAGAATCGCCCACAGTCCCTGCCCTCAGGGAGCCTCCAACCCGGGGCGGCTGAGGGGACGTCAGACTGTGTAGAGGAAATGCAGAGAGCAGGGGTAGGGTGGTGTTGGTCCCAGCCAAAGACCTGAGTCTAATCCGAGGGGGTGGGGGTGGAGGCAGCAGGGGGTCTAGCCAGCCTGGGGGGTTCAAAAAACAGATCCCGCCCCCTCCAGCCAGGCTGCAGAGGCTGGGGCCCACTTCCACTAACTAGCTGTGTGACAGCCGGCAAGGGACTTCTGCGCCTCGGTTTCCTCATCAGTAAAACGGAGACAATCCAAAACGGCCCCTGCCTCTTAGGGTTGTTGCGGACAGAATTAGAGGAGTTCATCTCCGTGAAGGCTTTGGGCCAATGCCCGGCCCCAAGCAAATACCAGTAAAGGGTTCATCGTCATGGCTGTTAGAACTGCGCCAAGACGATGTTCAGTCCACCCAATGGCTGAGCTCCTACGGCTGCGGGAGAGCTGGGCAGGGTGAGGGTTAGGGGGGCGGCCTACTTATGCCCATCCTGGCTTCACCCTGTCAACCTTAGTGGTATTCGCTGCCCCCAGACACCCCCTGCAAGGGTGTTATAAGCAATGGAAAGGGAGGCTTGTGCCCCAACAGAGGGGTCCCCTCCCTCCCTGGGGGGGTAAAGAGAGTCTAATGGCTATTACGGACCCCAGAGGTGTTCTCTGCTTCACGGGTAATAAATTCAGTCCACTGGGTGTTACAGGCTGGTTGAGGGTGCCCTCTCTCTCTCTCTCTTTTCCAGGGGCATTAAACACCCCGAGGGTGTTCTGTCTCAGTAGGGTGTTAACTACAGCCGTCTGCTGGTGCAGCTCCCTGGGGATGTTAAGTACAGCTTAATGGCCCCCCTCCTGTGAGACGCTTCCTGCAGTCAGGTAGGTGTCGGCAATACTGCCAACGAGGGAAGCTGCCGCCTGGGTGACCGCCCCCCTCCCCGGGGAATGCTCGACTGTAAGAACCCTCACTTCTGTCGAGTTCCTGTGTGCTTACAGGACAGGCCATGCTCTGACATCCTCCTCACAAATGCTCCCAGCCGCCTGGGGCTCAGAGAGGGCGCATGGATCGTCCAAAGATGCACAGCTCCAGAGGTCTTACAGAAATCAGGAAGGTGTCTCCTGGAGGAGGGGTGTGGGGAGTTGGCGGGGGGAGTCTGAACAGTCAGACGGGGGTGTGTTCGTGCCTATGGGCGTGGTTGTGCAGCCGATCCAGCCCTGGCCACCGAGGGCATCAGAGTCCCCCTCGGGGGTCCTCCACCACCTCTCATGGTGCCATGGAAGCCCCTCACACGTGTTGCCTATAACCTGACCCCCTGGGACACCCTACTCTCTCAGAGGCGGGGCTGAGAGAGAGTGTGAAAGCCCTCGGGGCTGGTGCTCTTTGCTGACGTCCCAAGGATGTCATGTTTCCCAGAAGGGTGTTGTGTGCAGCGTGATAAATGGTGCCTTCTCAGAGGGCAGGCTCTTACTGGACGGTGTAGCACCCAGTCCACTGGGTCCTTTCTGCTCAGGTGTGCTTCTCTCCCAGGTGTTCTGTCGTGCATTGAATGGCCATTAAATACATCCCGGATGGTGTTCCTGATGGCCTGCCGGTGTTCTAGCTTTCTTGGAACACCTGGAGGCTGTTGTCTTCCTCCTGAACGGGCATCACATGCTGATGAGGAGTCCTCCCTCCCAGCGGGCGCTGGGTGGGGTGTTCTCTGCAATCTGGTGGGTGTCACGGACACCCAACAGGTACAAGTCTGGTTGGTGAGCCATCCTCAACGATGCTGTATAGGGTTGGGGGTGGTTCTAGACCTCCAGAAGAGGGTGGCTCTGCTGAAGGGGTCTCAAGTATGGCCTGATGAAGGGGTAGAGACCCCCAGGGCAGGGGCTTTCCGCAGGCTGCCTGGAAGGGTGATGTTCCACGTCGAAACAAGTGAGGGGATCCTTGTTTTCCAGCAGAATTTAGTACATTTTAACGAGGTTATTTTGAAGTAGTGCTCACGGCAAGTGCTTTGTTCGGCGCTTGACCCAACGCAGAGCGCCCCCCACGGGCTTGCTGCGTGTCCCTCCCCAGGAGGGAGCTGTCATTATGGACCCATTTTGCAGCTGAGCAAACTGAGGCTTGTGCTTACTCACTCCACGTGGGTGCTGAGGAGCTCGCCCAAGTGCATGCTGAACAGGGGCTGGAGGAGCTGGAGCCTGTCTGAAGTTCTCTGGGGCTGTGTCCGGCCTTTGGTATCACTCCCCCACTCCCCCGCCGTCCCCTGAGTTCAGTGGGGGTTGGTGCAATCTTGCTGAGCTGCCCTGGACCCAGCATATTCATTTGGGGACAGTCGTTTTGCCCCAGGCACTTTCCCTCTAGAGGCGGGTGATTCCAAGGGCTGCTGTTTCCCTGAGAAGGTGGCACTGGTGTTTGTGGGGGCAGCAGAGCCTGACCAGAGAATGGGAGAAAAAAGGGGGGGACAGAAGTGCAGAGGGGGAGAGAGGGAGGAGGTGAGGGGAAGGCACAAGGGAAGGAAGAGGACAGTGGCTAAATAGTGAGGGCCAGCGTCAGGCTGGAGCGGGGGTGGGGGGGGGACGCTGAACCTGAGGTGGAGGTGGGTGCTGGGGTCTCAGGGCCCTGAGGTCAGGGGTTGTTCTCTGGTTATTTCAGTGGGAGCAGATCCCGGCCCTTCCTGGTGGCTGCGGGTGTGGTGAGTTCCTGCGACCCTGTGGGCCCCTGCAGGGCAATGTGGCTGTTTGTCCGTTGGGCCCGGGCTTGTGTCTTAGGAGGTGGAGTGTAGCTGCATGTCACCATGGTTGTGTGTGTGGGGGTCAGGGCACATCTGTGTGTGCAGGTCTGTGTGTCCCATTGCCCGCCAGGCTATGGAGCCTGCGTGGTGTTGGCACTGTCTGTGCCCTTGTATCCGTGCGTCCCGACGTCCTGGGCCCGTGTGTCCGGGTCCGGTTTCGCGTGTCCAGTAGGGGGTCCCAGACGCGTAATTGCTACCTCCACCTCCCGCCCGCGGGTGGGTTTGTCCGCGTGCCCTCCTCGGGAGGGGCGGGGCGGGGAGAGAAGGGGAGGGGGGTCTCTCCACCTCTCCACCCACACCGCCCCCACCCCCACTCCCTCAGTCCCGGGATCGAACCTTATTTAGAGTCGCGATTCGACATCTGTTTTCAAATTTGATCAGCTCTGAACTTTATTTTCCGAGTTTGAGGAAAATTATATTCCATCGATCGCGCTCCCGCCCCCTCCCCCGCAGCGCCCGCCGCCGCCTCCATATATCTGCGCGCCGAGCCGGCCCGGCGGCCGCGAGGGCGGAGGCGCGCGGCGCGCCGCGGAGGAGCAGAGGGAGGAGGAGGAGGAGGAAGCGCAGGAGGCTCGGCAGGCCCGCCGCCCGCGCCCCCTACGCCCCGCGCCCCCGCCCCGCGCCCGGCGGCCCGCCTCTCTCCCCGCGCCTCTCTCGCGCGCGCCCCTCTCCCGCGCGCCCCTCTCCGCGCCTCCCGGTCCCCGCGCGGCCCCCTCTCCGGGTCCCCGGCCGTCCCTCCGGGTCAGGGTCTCTCCTCGACTCTCGCTTCCGTTCCGTCCCCCCCGGGGCCTCGCCCCCCACCCCGGGGCCCGCTCCCCAGGACGCCGCGGGGGCCATGGCCGCGGGATCCCAACTTTAAACACTTGTCGCCGGACCGGAGCGGAGGCGCAAACCCGGGAAAGTGAGTGAGCGCCGCGGGCCGGCGCAGGGGCGGGGAGGGGGGCGGGGCGCGGGAGGTGCTCCCGGGGGACCTTCGGAGCCCAGCCGCGGAGCCCAGGGCGGGGAAGGCGGGCGGGGTCGTCTGCCCCCGCGGAAGCGGCGGGTGGGGCAGCGCTCGGCTCTGGGGAGGTGGGAGGGGGAGAGGGCTGGAGGTGCGCGCTCGCGTCTGGGGGCCGGGACGCGGGGGCGGAGGAGTGCGTGCCAGAGTTCGAGGGGCGGGGGCCGGGAACCGGGGTCTGTTTGGGAACCGGGGCTGGCGGGCACACCTGAGGGTGGGCCTGGACCTTTGGGGCTAGAATCCTGGGGCGGTGGGATGGGGGGCTAGGGGCCAAGACTGAGGACTTGGAATTTGGGACCTGGGGGTTCAGAGCCAAGAGACTGCATATTTGGGGTTGAGAGTTGACTGAGGTTGGGGGTCAGATGAGGGGAGTGGACATTTGGGGCTGTGTGGTAGTATGGAGGTTTGGATGGGAGTGAGCTGGGAGGTCTGGGTTTGGAACTGGAGCTCAAGGCTGAGGGTATGCACAGTTGGCTCTGGATATTTGGGGCGTGGATATCCTGTGTAGGGGGGTCAGCATGGCCTGTGGGAAGGACATTGGGCCAATAAATGGGTCTGCACACTTTGGGGCTGGGAGTGCAGGTCTAGCCCTGACCTTCGGGGTTGGGGGGGCTGAGTTCTTCTGGGTAGAGGTGGCTGAGTGTGCTGTGTCCCCTCTCTGTCATTCCTCCACTGTCCCAGGGCTGTGCAGGACCACCTCTGCTGTCTCTTCTCTGGCTGGGTCTCTCCTTACCGTGTCTGTTTCTTTGGGCACCTCCGTGTCCACCTCTAACTCCCAGAATCTCTCTCTCTCTCTTTCGGGCTCTTTATATGTGTCTCTGGCAGCAGCATCCCTCTCTTCCTCTTGGGGTCCAACTCTTGGACTGTCTCAGAATCTCTGTGCCTCTCTCTCTTCGCGTCTTTCTCAGCATCCCTTTCTGTCTCTCTGTCTCTGCCTTTCTCTGTCTCTTACTATCTCTTTGTCTCTGTCTCTCCCAGCATCTCTGTCTCTGTCTCCCCCTCGCTGGTTTCCGCTCAGATTAAGCCGGGGACCTAATTCCAGGCCCAGGATCGAATTTTCTGGCAACAAAGGGAAATAGCGAATCGATCGGTCGCTCCGGAGATTAAGAGACAAGCGGCGCGCGGATCTATCACGGCTAAACGGCCCCCCCGCCCGCTCCCCCTGCCCGGCCGGCCCGCCGAGGCCCAGACGCGCTCCGCATCGCCAAGCAGCCTCAGGAGCCCGGCTGCCCGGCAGGCCCTGCCAGCCTCACTGGGCCCAGAGCTCACGAGTGGGGAGCTAACCATGTGCTCTGTCCCGGCCTGGCTCCAAAGCCCAGGGAAGGGATCCCAGGTCTAGAACGGGCCCCTGGGGAGGGGAGGGGAGGGAAGTGAGTGAAACCAAGGCCTCAGATGGCCCTGAAGAGCCACATTGCACACACCTGTGGCCTCAGGTAACACCTTTTGCTCATACCTGCCCCTCTGCACACCTGTCACCTTAACGTTTTCTCTTCAGTTCCCCACATCTGGATGGCCAGGTAACATTAGAGTCCTTGTACCTGTCCCCTGCAGGTGACCTGTCCTCTTCATCTGTCCCTGTAGGTACCACCTGTTTCCTCTCACCTGCTTTTCCAGGTTAACACTTGTCCCTTGAAACATGCCCCAGAGATGCCCATGGTCTCTCAGGTAATACACGGCCCCTCTTACCTGCCCCTCCAGGTAACACCTGTTCTCCAGAATCTGCCCTTCCCTCTTGAATCCCTGCATCTGTCTCATTTCGTGCTGTTCTGTCCCTTTCCTACCTGCCCTTGTATCACCCCACCTGTCCCCTAAAGCTTCAAACACACTTAGTTCTCACACTTTCGGATTTCTTTGCTTCTCCCTCCCCTCAAGCAGTACCTATTACCATATCTTCACGCACAGGCACGTGCAGAGGAGTGTGCGTGCACGCACACCTCCCCCCCCCACCCCACACACACCTTCCTTTGCTCAGCAGCATGGACCCGAGCCTTCTCTTAATCTGCCCTCAGGTCACGCCTGCCCCCTCCCACCTCTCTGGTCACATTCTTCTCCCTCACGGTGCTCACCTGGGCCACCCCATCCTGGTCCTTCCACAGGGGCTTCCAAACACATCTGCCTCACCCCCGGTGCTCTCCGCAGGTGCAGGTCCCTAACTCCCCCACCCCTAACTCCCCCCACCCTCCCGTCTCCCACAGAGATACCTACTTCCGCCTGCCCTGCCCACACCTGTCTTCCAGGTAACTCATCCCAGACAATACGTGCACCTACCCCGGGTCTCCTGACCTCAGCACATCTTGACCGCTCACACGTGCAGTGGTCGGTGTTTCCTCCTTCCTCCTGTCCCTCTCCTACAAGCCTTTATCCTCTGAAAGTCACCTGTCTTGCCTCCACACTTGCTGCTCACCTCCTTCTCGGTGTCTCTCTGTCTCTGCTTTTTTTTTTTTTTTTATTTATTTTTTTTTAAAGATTTTATTTATTTATTTGACAGAGAGAGATCACAAGTAGACAGAGAGGCAGGCAGAGAGAGAGAGGGAAGCAGGCTCCCTGCTGAGCAGAGAGCCCGATGCGGGACTCGATCCCAGGACCCTGAGATCATGACCTGAGCCGAAGGCAGCGGCTTAACCCACTGAGCCACCCAGGCGCCCTCTGCTTTTTTTTTTTTTTTTTTTGGTCTCACCATCTCACACACGCCCGCCCCTTCCCACATGCACAGGTTGGGGCAGGGAATCTGTCTTTGGCCACGCGGTCCTGTCTGACCTGTATACCTGTTTCCCTACAGCTATCCCTCCCGCACCGTCTGCTTCTCTTCTTAACCCACACAAGTTCCCCATTTTCTCACTTCCTCCTTCCTTGCTGTCCAAGCTCACTCCAGTATCTCTGCACCTCCCTCACCTGTCTGCCCACAGGCATCATCAGCTTGGGTTCCACCCCCCTCCACAGATGCTGAGACTTCCGCACCTGCCCCCCCTCCTTAATCTCCCTCGGCTTTACACCTTTTCCAGTGGGCCTCTGCCCTACCCCTGGCGTTCGTCCCCAGCCTGTCCCCAAGGGGAACGCCTGCTCCTGCCCCCAACATAACATCCAGACCCAACATGGAGTCCCCCTCACGTCTCCCCATGCCATGTAACTCTTGTCCTTTCATAGCTTTTTCTTTTAAGAAAAAAAAAAATGTGTTGTTTTTTTTTTTAATGTAAGCTCCGTGCCCAGTGTGAGGCTTGAACTCAGGACCCCGAGGTCAAGAGTCAGAGGCTTTACTGACCGAGCCAGCCAGGCGCCTGTCTTCGTGGCTTTTTCAGATGTCGTGTACCTACCCCACAGCTCGCAGCCACCTTGTCCCAGCTGCGCTGCACCAGCGGCTCATGCAAGCTGTCACCCCCACACCTTTGGAGCCCACCCTCAGATCCCTCCCCTGTCTCCTGGCCTGCTCCTCTCCGGAGATGCCTGTCCCTTTTCACGGAAGGCGTCATCAGCCCTCTGCCTGCTCAGGGAACACCTTTCTGGAAGGGCATGATACCACCTGTGGTGTTTGTTAAACACCTGCAACACCTGTTCCCAGCTGTGCTGCACCAGCCTGCTGCATTATACACACTCCCTTATGCCAGAGGTTTTCAGATTTTGGCAGGCACTGGAAACCCCTGCTGGGACCCAGAGCTCAGGGCCTCATGCCAGAGATTCTGGTGCGGTGGGGCTGGGATGGAACCTGAGACTCTGCATTCTTCACAAGCTGGTCCACCGACCACCCCTGGAGTAGCACTTGCCTGCTCCTCCCAAGTTCCCAGCTACTGCTTCACCCCGGCCCCAAATTTTATTTTTAAGTCACCTCTACACCCACCTTGGGGCTCGAACTCACAACGCGGAGATCAAGAGTCGCGCCTCTCCTATCGGAGCCAGCCAGGCGCCTCCTCCAGTGGCGGCTTATTCCCCACCCCACCGCCCCACCGCCTCTGTGACAGGCAGTATTCTCTGTTCTTCCTAACCGCGGTCTCCTTTCATCCTCTCCAGGCCCATATGAGGCACGTCCTTACTCTTCTCCCCACTGTACAGAGAAGGAAACTGAGTCCAGGGAAATGCAGTCATTTCTTGGAGGTCTCAGGAGCTGGTCGATCTCGGAGGCCATCTGACTTCCGTCACCAAGGTGTCCTTAGCTCCCACACCTGCCTGTCAGGTGACCTCCCTCCATGGACACATCTGCCCACCTTGTCACTCAGGCAACGCATGTCTCTGCATCGTCTGCCAGCTCTCCTGCACCCCAGCCTCCTGCCAGCCCCCCACTCCTGCCCTCCGACAGGCCCCACCTCCCTGCTGGCACACCTGGCCTCTCTCTGAGGGGGACTCCCTCCTACCTGCCGCCAGGCAGCCTGGGTCCTGCCACCACACACCTGTCCCTTCGGACACACCTTGCTCTCCAGAACTCTCATTCCACAGGCTGCTTTCCCAGCTCCATCCCTCTCTGCCTGCCCTGTCTTTGTTCCCTTCCTCTCTTCCACCTCTGCCTCCTGCTGCTGACCTCCTCTCTGCCTGTCTCCCAAGCTGAGACTCTTTTTCTGTCTGTTCATACCTCCTTGTCTTTTCGTTCTTTGTGTTTCTCTCTCTCTCTCTTTCTCTGTACCTTATCTTTTTTTAGCATCTGACTCTTTCCTTGTGTCCTGTACTCTCTCTCTCTCAGGCTCTCTCTGCCTCCTTCCTCCTCCTCTTTCCTGGTCCCTTGTTCTTTCTGGCAGTGCAGGTTTTGGGGGGCTTGAAGTCATGCTGACCTACATTTGAGCCAGGCCGCCCCACCCACCCCTGTGGGACTTGGGCCAAGTTACTTTCCTTATCTAAGCCTCAGTTTCCACGTCTGGGAAATGGGCATCCTGGCCATTGCTACCTCCCAGGTCTTGGCGAGGATGGGGTGGTGAGGGGGA